CGGCGGCGGAGGCGGCGAGAAGCAGGAGCGGGTCCCCCTACTGCAGCAAGCGCCGCTCCCTCCGGCCCACAGCTCCCTCTAACGAGCCGAGGCAAAGGCAGGCGTCGTCCGTCACTCCGCCCGCCAGTAAGCCAAACCCCCGGCGGGCAGGGCTTCACCAGGCCGCCTCCTTGTCTCATGCGCTCCCCTCCCGGAAGGGGCAAGGAGGGCTGGAGTCGTCCTTTCCTCTAAAGAGCAAATTAGAATGGCTCAAATGTCGGGAGAATGCATGCTCTTTTTCTTGCAAAGGAAATGCCAGGGGAGGAACAGCGGCCCTGAAAACTGTAATGAGACTTGGCAGGCTCCCCCCTCCTCCTCCTCCTCCCAGCCTTGGCTGAATATAAAAGCAGACCGCGACACATGTGCCTGAGGCGGGGTGTGGTGCGAGGAGCGCCGCCCTTTGCACGAAGCGGCACCTAAGGGCGCTCCAAGGGGCTCGCCGTTCCTCTTGGGTGCGCTCCCTAATCTTCCGGGAATGGGAGGAAGGACACGCCGGGGGCAAGAGACAGGAGCCCGGGGAAAACTGAAGCCGAAACCTCACCTGCGGCCTGCAGAGAGCAACCAGTTGTACTTTGGGGGCAAGGAGAAGGGGCAAGAAGCTGAGGCGTGCAGGCGGTTAAGAAGGCTGAGGGTTGGGAAAACTGTGGCGAAGGAGATCCAGGATCTCGCAGAAGGCAGATGCGTGAAGGAAATGCGAAAGGCAGGAGAGGAGTGTGGAAGCAGGCTTTTGAGGGAAGGGAAGTAGGCCCAACGAGGTGGGGAGGCTGGGGAGAAAACCTATTTAAGGGAACTAATGGATAGAAGTCACTTGAAGGCACCGCTGGGTCCAAGAAAATACGTACAGTGGATCTCATTGTCACGTAAAAGCCATCTGGAGCCTCTGTAGACGTGTGAAATGTATTTAAACTGATTTTCATATTTTCAGTACTGTATATGTATGTGTAGGGTACCACCTGTAAGAACTCAAGACTGTTTTCTTGCCCTTTGCTCCTAAACTAATCTAATGTGGGAGTTGCCTCCACTCACCCTCTCAGGAGCCCTCTCCACCGCAAATCATGGACATACCCTGCCTGAATCTTCAGGAATTAGAGTACATTATGTAATAATTATATAATGTATTAATATATACTAGTGGGGTACCCAGTGTGGTGTAGTGGGTAGAATCGTGGACCAGGATTCAGGAGACATGGGTTCATTTCCATAACACCGCCATGGAAACTTACAAGGAGGTGGAACTGGTGAAACCGCTCCTTAAATACAGTACCTCACTTTACTTTGAAAAAACCTATTAGGGTTGCTGTAAGTCAGTTCTGACTTGACAGCACAGAACAACATTACAGTATACTGTATACTACTTACAGTGATGAACAAGCTCTTTAGATAAGTTATCCTTCTGTTGATGACATAACATCCTCCATACACAGGAGGTAGGCATGGGAATTAACCAAAAAACAAAAAAAAACCCTAAAGGGTAGAGGGAAAAACAATCTATTGTGGAATTATTGAGCATATTCAGAAGTCACAGAGTGCTGAGGAGAGGAAGTGCCCAGGGCATACTGACTGGCTGGAGTTGTATTAAGTGCTATAATTTTTTCCCAAGTGACAGTAACTGTGCAACCTTCACACATCCTATCATAAACAGCTCTTTTCAATCTGACACAAAAATGTTGTGGTAGCCATACTTGAGTCACTCCATCTCATGTTAGGTTTTCCTCTCTTCCTGGCATTATTTGCCTTGCCAGTGAGTTTTTTCTTTTCTTTATATTTCAAAAGAACAATAACTTCAGTTTAGCAATTTTAGTTTCTAGAGATAGTTCAGGTTTGATTTAATCTGGAACCAACTTATTTGGCTTTCTGGTAGAGCCATCAATACATTGGAAAAGGATCTGATTTCTTTTTCTATCAGTTTTTTTCTTTATATCTGTACCTAGTTATTGGGAATACCCTAATATTGATGATCTTGGCCTTGTTCATCAGCAACATATCCTTACACTTGAGGATCTTTTTTAGTTCTTTCATAGTTGCTCTTCCAAGTTTCGTGGTGGTGCTGTGGGCTAAACTGCAGAAGCCTGTGCTGCAGGGTCAGAAGACCAGCAGTCGTAAGATCGAATCCACGCGATGGAGTGAGCTCCCGTTGCTTGTCCCAGCTCCCGCCAACCTAGCGGTTCGAAAGCATGCAAATGCAAGTAGATAAATAGGGACCACCTCGGTAGGAAGGTAACAGTGTTCTGTGTCTAAGTCACACTGGCCATGTGACCACGGAAGATTGTCTTTGGACAAAATGCTGGCTCTGTGGCTTGGAAACGGGGATGAGCACCGCCCCCTAGAGTCGAATACGACTGGACAAAAATTGTCAAGGGGAACCTTTACCTTTACCTTCCAAGTTTCAATATGAGTTAATGTCTGCAGTCCCTGTTACGATTGATCATAAAACTGAAGTGATTTTGTTGTTGTTTAGTCATTTAGTCATGTCCAACTCTTTGTGATCCCATGGACCAGAGCATGCCAGGCCCTCCTGTCTTCCACTGCCTCCCGGAGTTGGGTCAAATTCATGTTGGTAGCTTCAATGACATTGTCCAACCATCCCTTCCTCTGTCGTCCCCTTCTCCTCTTGCCTTCGCACTTTCCCAACATCAGGGTCTTTTCCAGGGAGTCTTCTTATGAGATGGCCAAAGTACTGGATGCTCAGCTTCAGGATCTGTTCTTCCAGTGAGCACTCAGGGTTGATTTCCTTCAAAGTGGATAGGTTTGGTTTCCTTGCAGTCCAAGGGACTCTCAAGAGCCTCCTCCAGCACCACAATTCAAAAGCATCAATTCTTCGGTGGTCAGCCTTCTTTATGGTCCAGCTCTCACTTCCATACATCATGACTAGAAAAACCATAGCTTTGACTATGCAGACCTTTGTTGGCAAGGTGATGACTGCTTTTTAAGATGCTCTCTAGGTTTGTCATCGCTTTCCTCCCAAAAAGCAGGTGTCTGTAGAAAATCATTAATACCTTTCATTTTTTCATTGCACTGCATAACATAGCATATTGTTCTGAGTCACATATATGGGTGCTACAGCCCATCATTAAGCAAACAGGATCTCACCCAAAACTTGTTGGAGAGAGCACTCTTCTCGGTCTGTAGACATTCATGCTAAAAACAATCTCAGGTCTTGAACTGCTAGTTCTTATGTGACCAGACAGTACTATCCATGCACAAAAGTGAAATATTAGCAGGCATGGAGGAATCTCAAAAATTCAAAATGTTTTTTAAAAAATCTTAGGAAAGGTGTAACGGGGTCCTAAAGCAATTAATTTAGGACTGAGCATGGCTAGTGGCCTTTGAATGCTAACTGGCAGTTACAGGTTCCACTTTCTCTAAGGAATCTTATGTAGGTGCCTTTGGTTTTATATATTGATGGCAAATAACACATGAGATTCTCTTGTCTAAAAGGTTTATAATTATTAAGTTTACAGAGATGAATATGCTATGTTTATACAAACCTTTGGTAAAATGAGAGATTTTTAATTGCATGTTGCCTTGTCTGCCAACACTAAGAATAATTATAGGAATGTTTAATGGTTGTTGTGGGTTTTTCGGGCTCTTTGGCCGTGTTCTGAAGGTTGTTCTTCCTGACGTTCGCCAGTCTCTGTGGCTGGCATCTTCAGAGGACTGGAGTATGAACTCTGGCCGCGCGGCCAAAGAGCCCGAAAAACCCACAACAACCATTAGATCCCGGCTGTGAAAGCCTTCGCGAATACATATAGGAATGTCTCTTTAAAGTTGGTATTGCTGAATTCCTATTCTTAATTAATACTTTCACTCTGTAGCAAAGATGTGAGCTTTTCTCATTCCTACCTTTAAAACAAAGATCTAAAAAGTAGACAACAGAGAAAAAAAACTACAATTCCAGTCCTATACCTTCTTAACAAAGAGTAAGGTGCACCAAATTTAATAGAGATTACCGGTACTTCTGAGTAAAAGAGCTATATAGGAATCAGTCTGAATTGTCCTGTGTAATTCATTTGTTCCCGCCTTATATACCACAGTAATCTCAGAATATAGACTCCAAGGGTTAAAAAGCATAGAATCAGGTCATTATGAAACAGAAGAGTGATAAAAGAGATTTATTATTATATTCAAGAAATATAGACTAAATAAGGATCAGTTGTTCACTTAGACAAGTGCATTGATACAGGCCAGAAGCTACTGCTGTTTTGTCCTGTCTAGTTCTAGACACTTGTTCCTTGATTACAGGTACAATAATAAATACACTTACTAAAGAATAAGCTCACTGAATTCAGTGGAACTTTTTCCTGAGAAAACATGTCTAGAAATCTTAAATAGATGGAAATAAGAATTTTTAATACATGGATTTGCATTTCTATTTTTCTTTTGTAGCAGTGATAGAAAATTACACCTTCTCCTCATCCCTCACTTTGGGCAATGCTGAAACACTCCCAGAAATACCCAGAGAGCCATATGTTCCCCATTTCTGCTTTGGAGATGGAAATAGTGAAGTCAGAGATAAATACAACTAGTGCTGAAGAAGCATCACATAAAGGAGCAACAGTTAAGCAACATCTTTGATGGCATAATACTGAGACCTAGAATACACTTATTATTCTGTGTGTGACATAGATATGTACTGTGGAAAAATTATTACAAGTAGATCGGTTTTAGATAAGCTGTGTTGGATGAATTTGTCTAGATTTAATTTGTGTCTAATAAAGCTACACTAAAAATTATTAGCATTATCTACTATGCTTAAGGCAGGAGGAGAAGGGGA